TTACCTATCGGGTCCGTTGGAAATAGGGAATGTGCCTTGGGGTGCTCTGCCGAGTGGGGATAGGCATCTTCCAGATACTCTAGAAGGACGAGGGATTCCCAAAGCGTGGCCTTTCCTTTAATCTCGACAGCCTGACGGAATTGAGCATGCTCTGTTGGATAATTTAATGCTGATAATCAACTCACAGGTACTAGACCGAGCGGATTCACATTGAGGAATTCCTTTTCTTTCTTATATGGGTTGACCTGGGTGAGGACGTTCGGTCAGTGGCACCTTCCTGTGGCTTTGGGTCATGAGAGCCTTACTTCGTGGTAACGGTAAGGTATTCCCTTCTCCTCTAAGCTGATCCAAACCTATCGATCAACGCTGAGGGATATGCACGGCGTTTAAGGGTGTGCTTACCCGCTGCACAAAGGGACAGAACCATGATCCCCACAAGACGAGGTCTTGTTCCTCTGAATGAGCATCGACAGTCTTCAAGGCTGCTCCCGTCGCATGAGGGAAAGTATTTATGTCTGGATGTGAGCTTTGAGACATGGTCTTGACTGTGGTTGAGCGTAAGAGTCGTAAGGGATGACGCCATGAATTGAATAGAGTGATCCTTGAGACGTTGATCGCTCGTTCATTTGAATGAATAAATGTTCTAAGTCAGAAGCCGCAAGAGATACAATGTCATTCCGTCTTTGCAGGTCGATACAATTAGGTCTTTCCCGCGGGTAATGTTGGGACTGTGGCAGACTCCTACCATTCCCTTCACTTTAATCGGGTGTTGATGAATTGGAAAAGCCACCCTAAGCGCACCTTTTTCGTACATGGATTCTCCTGACACTCTCTTTGTAGCAAAAGGGAATGGGTAGTAGAGTCCGGGCCCGTAGGGTTGGAGTACTAAATGGTTGGTCGGCTTCGTCGCAATCCTTGTTAGATCTCTTGAATGTAAACCTTTTCTGTTCCATTGCCTCGTGTCATTGCTGACACAAGAAGAGCGGGGAAGAGGCCACAACGAGCGGGCGAACGTAAATCGAACTGCTTCGAGAAATATCTCGCTACAATATCGAATACTGCAGAATTATGACGTCCTTTCCACTAAGATATAGTGGCTAACATTGCACGACAAGAACTCATCCACGAGTATAACATCACAGGTATTCATGTAGCGCAGCCAAATTATTAATGGTTGATGTGGCTGTGTTCATCACCACCTTCCCGCCCATGGGCGAAACAACCCAAAGGCAGAAAACCGGCCCAGAGGCATGGACCGACAATACCAAAGCTACCCTCTGAGGCGTTGCATCCTGCTGAAATGATGATTTATGGTGTCCTTTCTAGAAACCCTAACGCTCTCTTAATAATCAACACGACTTCAGAAACTCCAATCTACCAATGGATGGAAATTGTGAAGGAAGAGAACAGCCATCAGTGCGCTGGTGTTGATACGAATCAACTCGTTCTTGGAAGGTGACTCATAATTGTCTAGCTATGACCAAGTCAGTTCTGAGGGAGCCGGTTCCATGCAACGCCAGAATGGATGAGCTTCCGAAGTACTGGGATAACCTATCGGTATTCTGCGAGGAGATGGATCTTGCACTGAGTATGGGTGACTACTTACAATCGCCGGAGCCTCCAAAGCACATTCATACCATCGTTCAGATACCCATGCTTCGTAAGTGAGAAAAGGATTTTGCAGCTTTCTTCTTTTGGGAATCTTTCCCTTATCATGGCTGACTGACTAAGAGTAGGGAAGAGACCGCGATGGGATTCGGAATCAAATTTACCCCCATCGAAAAAACAAAAGCTGCCTAACCCTGTCCTGCCATCGTCTGTGAATGCGAGCAAGTCGAGGAACTTCTTGCGGACAAGATAGATTATGGTCGCCCTTCCCGGAAGGAATCAATTCCTCTGGCCTTACTTCACGAAGTTTTTGGTCAGCTCGTCGATGACACGCAAGTGCACATTCCCACCAAAGAGGACAACGACTTTATGTCCGGACTCCGAGAAGAGATGCTAAGGGTTCATAGGTCCGAATCTGCCTATACTGCGAGGTTCAGATTTATATGGGAGTGCCACATCCGGGATTTTCCAATAAACCCAGGCATCATAGGGGCGCCTAACTTTGCTACCGATGGTCATTTTCGAATTGGAAGGTTCTACCACCTTATTGTGCAAGGGAAGCGGGAACTAGATTGAATGAGCTCCGATCCTTTACTACAATTGACTATGTACTATATCAAATGCTTACAGGAGACAAAAGGAGGCCTGGCGAAGGATGGAAAAGAAATACAGGATTTGTTTCTTTGCTTACTTATCTATTACGCTGGCGAGGTACTCGAGGTAAATTGACAGGACTTACGGTTGGCAAAATATCAGGTCCATATATAGGTTT